AGCTGCTCAAGCTGGTATCCTTTTCTAACTTTTCATTCTCTTTTAAGAGCTTGCCTGACCTTTCTTGGCTCCTCAAGGTAAAGTAAACATACCATTTTATCTTTTCTTTTGGATATAAGATCTCACTCACTATGTACTTCAGGCTGGCTTTGAACTGACTATGTAACCCAGCCTGGCTCTGAATTCATGACAGTCCTCCTGTTTCAGTCTCCTTAAAGTGGGAATTTTATGTATGCAACACCATGCCCAGCCTCACTTTCTAATTAAAGCTTTTTCTGCAAATTTGGGCTTTAGTTTTAATTTCCATTTCTACTAAAGCAAGGATCCACACTGGTTGGTGACAGCTGTGAAAGTTTTTTCAATGCAGGTGAATTTGGCATTGGGTACTGGAATTGACAGAGACCTGCAGCTGGGTGTGCATTTCTCAAAAGGAGAGTGCCCTGGTCTAAAGCACAGTAAGAGTAAACATTATGCTGGATGATCTACTAACATCTGTACACAAGGCAGAGTGTTCAGTTAAGGGAAACAAATAGTAGCAATAATATGGATTCTGGGGTCTGAAGACTGTGAATATAGGGGTCAGGATAAAATCTAGCATTTGGTAAGATACTAGATTACTGCAGGGTCCTGGTTAAGGCAATTCTGCAATTTCTGGGAAGTTATTCTAGTACCTGTTTATTAGTGGTTGGAGTGAAAAAACTTCACCAGAGGTATGGTGTAGTATTGTAGACTCAGATAATAGAAGCCTAAGCTGAGTGGTACCCATGGAAAGAACTACTACTGCTTTTATGAAATAAACAAGACCGGAATTACAGCCTTGTCCTCTGGAAATTTCAAGATGGGGAGTAGTCATCAGGCCATGGGATACAATGCAATCAAGGCTGGATGGAGTCAAGGTCTCATCTTCGCTCTCAACATGATTCAATGAATGTTGGAGGTCTGGATGCCAATGGGGGAATTTCAATCCACCGGAAACTCCTTTTATTCAAATTGTTCTCCATTTTATTTTTCTTTGGGTCTTTAAATCACCTTAAGATCTAAGGGTCAGACAAGAAGCACCGAAACTCTGCAAAAGGGGCCACCCAGGGGGCTGTACTGCTCAGGATAATTTAACTTGAGGATTCCCAAATGCCTGTCTTCTCAACCCACGACCCACCCTCCTCTAAAGTGAGACCAACCAGGGACACTCACCGTAAACACCCACTTTGGGCAGAAGCACTCTCCACATAGTGCTTCAGAGCCAACTGGAATTCTTCCAGATCCTCTTCTATCACAGACATCTGACGCTGCACCAGCATGATGTGCTGTCGAGGAAAGGGCAGGATGATATCTTGGCTGTCATGGAGTTTCATTTAAAGAGACCCACACTGCCCATCTCGACCCTCCTCACAAAGCAAACAACTGCCATCCAACAATGTGACCAAGGAAGGTCATGACTGTTGTAAACATAAAATTATTGAAAGTGTATCGCCAATATAGGTGGGGTATTTTTCTTGGCTCTAGTTACAGTAGCTAAAAAGAAACTGCCTTTCATGTATTTCTCTTTTAAAAGCAGTGATTCAATTAGAATCACTGGAAGGTTTTAAGATTACATTTATATCAGAATGTCTGGGAGTAGGGCCTAGGCAGAGGTATTTTTAAACACCTCTCTATGTGTCTCTAATAAGCAACAAAGCTGGGATCACTGTTTTTCAGTCACTTTTGTATATGTCACCACTTCAGCTTATTGAATATTTTGTGGTACGGTACATATTATGACAATCATTACAAAACAAATTTCAAACAATACATGATCACTGATGCTTTTTCAAATCATGCACTAGTGATTGCAGGGTTCTCAAATATATTACCTCTATAGTAGGCTGTGTTCAAAACACCATGTCATTGGGTAGAGTCCCTATTTGATGGATCACGCTGGGTTATATGCCAACCTCTTCATCTAGCAAATATTATTACTAGCAGAGCAATTGTAGTTTGCAGAGTTCCCTAAAAATCTCTCTGTGACTTTCTCATGAAACCTTTAGTTTTTTGCTCTTCTTTGAGGATTGGAAAAAAAATTATAAAAGTGAAAGTAAATGTAAGAATTGATCTCAGCCACAAAAGTACAAAATACAACAAAAGACAAACATAATCTAGAATATATAAAGACTTTTGCTGATTACCAGCCAGATATCTAGAATGAAACTTGTAGTCTGCTAGCCCCTATTCTATTGAATTTCTCAGCTTGCTTTGTAGCAAGTAAATAACAGGTCCTGGATTCTGGGTATACAGTGATGACTCTAGCTATAATTCCAGTCATTATAGGGCTTACGAAAAGAAGAACCAAACTTAGAGAACAATGTCTAGCAAATGACATTAGGTGTAGCCACTAGCACATGAAACTCACTACACTTAAATTGGCCAAATGGTTGCCAAATTGTGTAGGGAACTGTATGCCAAAGAAATCATCACATTAATCTTTAAATTTATTGACTATTTAGACCTTAAGATTATATTTGCATGCACAAATACATCTGAGCAGGAAGCATGCTATGGATATTTCAAGCCCTCCCACCACCTGAAGCAGCCTTTTTCCTTGGGTCTCTAAATCACCTTAACATCTAAGGATCAGACAAGAAACACCCAAACTCTGCTAAGGGGCTGCCCAGAGTGCTATACTGCTCAGCATAATTTAACAGGAGGATTCTCAACAAAAGATAAAGATATATTATTAGGTGAAAAATTAGAGTATTATTAGAGAAATTATTAACTTCTCTTTTTGCTAAGACTGGGCATGGTGGTGTGCGCCTGTAATCCCAGCTCTTGGGAGGCTGTAAATTGGTGGATCACGGAGTCTGATCTAGTAGTGAGACCCTGAACAGCCTGTACACCCTTCCCTAAAATACAAAAAAAAAATTCTCTATGTTTCATTATTCTCCAATATGCTGTTTTAAATGATCATGGAGAGTAATGGGCCAAGAATCTTTCAAAAGAACAAAGGACAGTAGAAATCTTTCCAGAATAGAGATACATGGTCAAATACTAATTATTGTTGTAGTGAGTGCTATGCATTTCTCTTTTATCCCTTTTTTTGAATGGGATTTTCTTGTAGCATCTATCCTCACCTAGTTTTATTGCTATATATTCTATCATTTCTCTCTCTTTCCTCTCTCACTCTCCCTCCCTCCCGGGACAGTCTCCCTTGTGAAACAATCTGTATGTATGTGTTCTCTATGTGGCAAAAAGGATGCAAAAATGAATATCTAAAGATCACAAGGCAGACTGTACTAATTCTAAGCTGTTTATTTCTTTTCTTTCTAGGTACATTGGTAGACTCTGTATTGAAGCCTCCCTTGCAGTTATGTTAATATATTGACAAGTTCTCCCCAACAAATAAGGCAGACTACACACCATTTATGAACCAAAACAAGAATGTGAATTTCTTCCGCATTCTTTTTTCTTTTTCTGTTAACAGGATGAAAACCTATCTTAGGGTTGGGAGAGATACAGCTCAACGGTTCCTGAATCACTGTGTGGAATTTTAACTGGACTAGGAATGGATTGTTTTGCTATTGGAATCATTCCACACTTGGATTCATTTGCCTCCATAATGTTATTAGTCTTGGATGAGTTCAACAAATTATTTGACCTTTGTTCTACATCCTCTCAGGATCATCAATTAAGAATTGAAATATTCAAGCCCATAACTGTCTCTTAGGTTTCTCTGGTGAACAGTTGATGTCTGTATGACTCTCTTAAAAATCTGTTTTCTAGGACCTGCCGGTTAGCTCAGTTGTTTAAGCACCTGCTCATGCAAACACTGTCAGGTGCAGGATACCATGGTCCAATCCCCAGCTTCACATGCCTTACCAGAAAATAAAAATAGATAAATAAAAATAAAATCCTGCTCAACTTTGGGTCAACCAAATAGCTCAGCAGATTAAAGCACCTGCAAGCAGGTGCAGGGGCTGGCATTCAATCCCTGGGCCTGCTGCACTGGCCCCACCCCTGCCGCATGCTGAGACAGCAATTGAAATTGGGCATGGTGATGCACGCCTATAATCCCAGCTCTTGGGAGGCTGTAAACAGGCAGATCACTACGAATCCAATCTAGTAGTGAGACCCTGAACACCTTCTAGACCCTTTCCTAAAATAAAAAAAGTCTGTTTTCTATATTCATAACTAGAGTTAAAGACAATCTCTTTCAGATTAATGGTGAGAATGTCTTTTTTCTAGAAATATGCAAGGAATTTTTCACTGGAAAATTTTGATTAACAATCATTCAGATGATTTTTGTGGGCTTCCTTGCAATATAGATAGGTAGATAGACAGACAGACAGACAGACAGACAGACAGACAGACATCTCCACCCCCAACATAATTCTTCTAATCTGAGGAAAATTCTTGTGTGATTCATCAGAACAGACTGCTTAAAATGACAAGAATCCTCTATGATTCTCTGAACCCATGCTCTATGAAATATCACTTTCTTCTCCTTCCATCAAGACATGGATTCTCTTCCCCTCCCTGTGGATCAGGGTCGGGCTTCTAATTTGCTTTCACAGCCACGTGTGGCAGCATTGATGGGCGCCCTTTTCAAGTTAGGGCCCAGGAAGCTTATCAGTTTCTACCCATTCCCTTGCATCCCCAGGATTGTCATGTAAGCAAGGTCTGCTGGAGCAGGAGTCAGCACACTTGCTTTGTAAATAGATAATAAAGATTTTTGTTTTGAATTAATATTTATTTTTGTAAAGATAACATATAAACATGATTAAAAGGGGAATAAGTGTTACTCATTGAGGACTGTGTTGCTTTCATAACTGTCCCAAAGTCACTCACTTCTTCACAGAGTGATTGCTATTGTCAGGTGTCTTCAGAATCAATACAGAGCTATCCTGTACAGGAATATGCATTCTATTCTTAGTATCACTCTGCCCACATTGTCTTCATTTGCTTTTTTTTCACCTAACAATGTATCCTGGAAAGTGTTTCACCACAGTGCAACTGTAAAACTGCCTCACTTTTTAATTATTTGGTTTCATGTTTCATACACTTTTAATGGGTGATTAGCTTTCCCTTACACAGGTACCTAGAGGTGTATTTTGTGTACACCCTATCATTCATGCTTAGCCTATTTTTCTTATACTCTAACTTTCTCTGTTTCGATAAATAATACTATAAGTATATTACTCAAATACATGTGTCATACTATTTTAGAAATGAATAGTTAAGCCAAATTGTGACTTTAGTCAATATATTAAATGGAAAAAAGCTGAAAGCCTTCCCTTTAAAATTAGAAACAAGACAGGGTTATTCTATATCACCATGACTTTTCAGTATAGTTTTTAAGAGATTATCCACAGGAACCACGCAAGGGAAAGAAGCAAAACAGATACGCATTGGGAAGGAAAAAGTCAAATTATCATTATTTGTAGATAACATGACCATTTGTATAAAAGACCACAAAAATTCCACCAAAAAACTTAATACCAAATTCAGTAGTTCAGCAGAAGACAAAATCAACACTCAAAAATTAATAGTATTTTTGTACACCAATAATAAGCTAAATAAATAAAGAAACAAATAAATAAAGGAAATAATACTTTTCACAGTAGCATCAAGAAAAATTAAGTACATAGGCATTAACCTAACGAAGAAAATGAAAGATATCTACAATGAAAACTACAGTGCTCTGAAAAAAAAAATCAATGAGGACATCAGAAAATAATAGATATCCCCTCTTCCTGGATAGGAAGAACACATACAGTCAAAATGGCTATACTTGTAAAACTGATATACTGATTTGTTACAATCCCAAATACCAGTAGTGTTGCTCATAGAACTAGAAAAAACAAGCCTAAAATTCATATGAAACTAGATTAGACCTAATGACAAAAGCAGTCCCGGGCAACAAGAGCTGGGCAGAAGGAATCACAATTCTAGGCTTCAAGTAATAAGTTATACTATAAAGTAATAATAGCATAGTGTTGGCAAAAACTAAAACAAACAACCAAAACCAAACAACCAACAAAATATAGACATGTGATCAAACAGAACAGCAGATGAAACAAAAACTCCAAGACATTCAGACATTGGAACATTGACAAAGGGGCCAAAAACTTATGACAGATACAGAAACTTAATTACCACCAAAATATAGAGAGGTAAATAAAAGAAAGATAACAGAATAAAATGAGATGAAAGTTAGAGGGGAAGGTTGATGGGGGAAAGAGGCATCCAGGAGGGAACGGAGAAGGAGATGATGTATTGTTAGGTGTATGTATCAACTTTTCGTGATAAATGTAATCACTGTGTACTGAAAATA